AAATCGTTCATCGTATTTGATGGGAGCTTCGCTTTTGTGGTAGAGGAGCTGAATTTTGAGAAAATTGGGCATTTGCAAATTGCGATTTACCTTGAAACATGCGGGAAAATGTAGCTGAATTCTGAGTAATTCCTCGCCAAAGATGCTACCTGCCATAAAATCTTCACCTCGTAAACGTGTCTTCTTAAAAATAGACTGTACGTCTATGGGTGATTACCGTAGCATTTCGTTAAGCAGTCATCGTATTGTGATCATAAAATCTGCCGTCGTGATCAAGTACCGTATCAAGACTGCAAAGTTTCAATTTTGATTCTTTTCAAATTTTTTCGGATCATTAATGCGTGTGAACAGTACTGCTGGATAACGCGTGAACCGTTTGAGTTCGAGTCATATCGCTTTTGAAATGCGTACAGTCTTTGTTATCGTACTACTGACAGAGAGCGATTTATGAGTCGGCCTGATGTTCTAGAAAGCATATGCTGTCAGTTGGTTGGCGCATGTTTCTGAATTGTGAATGTATCAGGAGAGAAGATTGTCTTCGAGATATACGTTATGATATTTTAATAGTCATTGTAGACATTCCTATTTATGCAGATGAGACACTTCGGTGGTAGCAGCTTGACACAAACATAACAAATTTCCTTACCGGTAATTCATTATTAGTATAGAGTAAAGGTAATATTAGTTTCCATAGAGGTCATTAGTATGCGGGAAGGATGTTTCAATGCGTGTTGAATGGCATGTGGCATGGATTGAATGTAGCGAAGTTTATAAATGCTTTACGACAAACAATGTAAATAACGTTATAAAATGTTTGATTTTGCTTCGACCATGCGTTGAACGGGAGTGGAATTGTATTGATTATTGATTCGGTATCAACTGAACACTCGATGGGGGGATGCTTTTGTGAACGTTGGAATTTTGTACGATCGACAGTTTGTGTTTATCAAAGTCATTTGTTGTGCGTTGCTTCATGCATGACTGCTCCTTCATGCATTCTTTTTTTTATTTGAGCATTCTTCCCTTCTGATTTTGACTGTGTCTGTCAGTGTACGATTGTTTTTTCTTCGCATTATTCTCAGACAATTAATTTCACTATTGATGATTAATTTCCAATACTAATTAGTTTCCAGTATTACTTATTTCCAGTACGTTCTAATACTGATATTCTCTGTCAGTATGGTATTGATAGAATCAAGTCATCTCATTGAAATTGAAATCTTGGATGCCCAATTTTTCTATGAAAAATGGTTCCTGTTGAAATGGTTTCATAGATACCTGTTGATTTTTCTCCGAATCTAGGGCATTATGATTTGAGTCTGTGGATTTTTGCTGAGATTCTGTATTCTGAAAACTTTGTGTATTGTTTCAACCTCCGTCGCCTTTACAGTTCTACAGTCCGTGTGTTGCGTATTTGTCGAATAGATTTGCTAAATAAAGGTTTTCCCTAGTAATTTCCTGGTTTATGGGTGATTTGAATTGTTTGTTGATTGCTCTCAAAAGCATTGCAACTTGTTTCCGAATCGTTGATAGTTATTATCATGGTGTTGAGAAACACGTTCAGTATCGCTAACCACCCTCAGAACACGCCGATCTGTTTGATTGAGCGAACACTGTGTTGTGCTATAAAGACGATTTAATTTGTTGTTTGATTCCATTCTAACAACCTACCGGTGGGTGAGGATTTATATTATAATTTGATTTCGCTTCACTGATTCGACGGGATCACGTTGCGTTTATTAGGTCGTGCAATAATCCCTGTCCGATAACCTCAATCTGCTCCACAATCCTTCTTTCTCTACCATAGCTATCGGAAACCTTCCGAAAGGATACCAACCAGATGAATATTAATTCCAGACTGTAATTTTTAGAGTCTGAATGTAACTAACGAATTCAGGCTCCCATACGGGATGATAAGATCTAGTCAGGCTGGTAAAAAGTTATATTGTTTGAATAGTCTAAAATTTGGTGGTCAGAATGAGTGCACGGATGAAAATCGAAACCATTGATCTAATTTTCGGTATCTTGCACGAGGTATCATATCAGAACGCAGGATGGGATGAAACTTCTTTGCCTAAATGGTGTTGATATGAAAACATTTTAATTACTTCGAACGGTTACTTAATAATGTATCACAATTTCTTGCCAAACCAATGGCTGAGATACGACAATTTTGCGAGTGATGTTTAGGTGGTAGATCTAATAGTAAGCGAATTTTGTAAGGATTTCTAATCGAGTGAGTCTTTCTAGTATGATTATAACCGGTTCTTTATACTCCTACTAAAATCTCCTCCATTAATATTATGTTATTGTTGTTGTTGTTGATTATCCAGTAATGTTACTGGATAATTCAGCCATACATATTCATTCACCCATTTTGTCATTCATTTTATCCACATAGTTGAATTTTAAGTCGACAATCGCCCTCACAACCAAAACAATTTTTACCTTTCAACTGAAACTCAAATTCAACTCAACTCAAATAAGCTATTCAGAGCACTTCTATGCTTCGCAATCGAATGTATTTGTAGCGTATACGCTGGCAAATTATTATATTTTACAATGTTAACTTCCTTCTATCCCTCTTACAAATGCCATATTCATACATTGTTAATAATCGATATTGTCATGCTGAACACTCAACTGAAATTATGGAAACGTTAAGATGCTTACTGTTACTATATTGTTGATTATCGTTTGCAAGTGAATAGTTTTATGATCGTCTACCGATCGGGTTCACGGATCGGTTCATTAGGTATTATCGAGTGAACAAATTTTCTTTGTGCAGACGAACTACTGCTAAAAAAATGGAACAAGTTATATGATTTATCCATTTCTCCGAAGGATGTACGTAATAATTCTTTTTGCGTTGCAGAATGAGCGTTTCATAGTCTGATGAGTGAGTGCATTTTTCATATTGTCTCAACGAAACATTATACAAGACATATTTCTTCTCACAATCAGTGAATGTTTCATTTCAAAAACAATGCGAATCGCACAGGAATGTTTCATTTGCTGCATTCATTACTGCACTTAATTTCACCAACAAATTAAGACACGACTACGTTCCGCGAACCATCACAACTTAATTTCTTCTGCAATTTTTTGTGCTTTTTTTGAGAATTTATTTCCACTGATACCTGTTATATTGCAAAGGTGTTACGTAGTACATAATTGAGTGAGTGTATCGTAATCAGTTTTTGCTGGAATTAACACACAATCAGTGCGATGATTTGTTTTGCATAATGCACAAATCACTTGCTCAATGCTAATGTGCGTGCTAGTTGATTGACGAATGAAAATCGAATACGAGAGTCAATTGATGGACGAAATGAGACGATAGTTGATGTTGATCACTCAGAATTTGATGTTTTGTTTGCATTTTCACCTCAACGGACAGGTGTTTTACGTGTTTTCCGACGAGTGGATCAGCTCTCGTATACGTACACTTTGGAATAGATATGAATGAAATGATCGTGTCCGTATAGTTCGATGGGAAGATCACAAGACCACGATTTCTTAGCTGCTGCTGTCGATCTGTTATTGAATAATCTGTAGATCTTAGCACATCGATATGAAACTAGAGAAGACAAAGCACGGACTTCATCTTGTGTTCGTTCGTTCACGTTGTAATTCTTTGCATATGCTGATTCGATGCATTTTAACGATTTATATCGAATGCAGTAATGCGTTTTTTTGGTTGTTAACTTACACTCACAATGGACAGTGTCAGTGTTGTTGATCTACGAGTGTTTGTGTTGTGGATTTAAGTTTTACTTGTACTTTACATGAGTTCGTTATGTTGATTTCTCAATCAAAGATGAAACATCGCTAATTCGGTTTATTTATTTCAGCTACTCCAACTGCAAATCGAAACCGAGGGACAGACATTGGTACAGAACGTGGAACGTTCACTAATCAGGTGGGTGATTTGATTGCTATATTTGATGGGATGGATGCTTTTTTCATTCTCTAACGAACATTTTTATTTGCAAATTTTTGCGTCCTTATCAGTGTGTTTAACTCGAACGTTCTGTACGAAAAATGTCGCAGCATTCATCACGTAACATATACAGATAAATCTACAGATGAATTTTCATTTTTCAACTATTCGTGCTCATTGCTGATGATTTTGATTGCTGATAATTTTTCAGTTCATCTGTTACTAGCTGCAATTCTTCTGCACTCGTTTCAGTTCGAAAATGAATTTTTTCCAGTCTAATTTTAAAATCCGCTTAAAAGTTGACGAAATTATTGGAAGAGTGTGACATCGGTTCCATCCGTTGAGTTTTCCGTTTGAAAACTGTACTGTGTATATGAATGTAAAGTATCACCCACACGCGCAAACACACTGTCAATTTGAGTTAATTTATAAAGCGTTCGCTTGTTTGAAGGATATTCGCTAAGGGCAATTAGTCTCAAATATACAAAATCAACGGCCATCAGCATTCATTATCATCATCCTTAACGGAAATACAAAAATGCGTTTTTGCAAAAATAAAGCGATTCGATTAGCATTTATGATTCTTTCCATGCAGTTTACGAAAATTTTGCGTTTTTTGTTTTTTTCGAAATAACTTGCGGATAGATCTCACAGAGAAGGAAGACTACTGAATTTTCAAGTAGTATTGTGATCATGGTTGTCCTCATTCATTTGGCTCAATTTTGTATTGTATTGGTGAATTTGATCGTTTCGAGTTCCATTTATAATGAGAACCATAATGATAATTGCGTTGAAATGATACTGTTGTCAACGGTATCAGTGGGAATGTTAACGATGAAAAGATCAGTTGGTGAAATGCAACAATGATGATGAGATAAGAAAAGATTAGGAAAATTAAGATTTTATCCGATAAATAAATTAATGAGGTCATAACGTTTTTTGTGACATTCAATTAATATGGAGGCATTTTTCCGCAAATTCATCCACTTCTGGATAAATAATTGGAATTCCACGCAGATGAGATGCAAATAATGAAAGAAATCGTTTATTCTACAGGAGAGCAGAGGAGAACAACAACCAGAACTGGGATTGTAGGACCACACGTCGTCAGCAACACCTGAAAGTGTTGACACAGCGTTGGCACGATCTTTGGCTTCGGTCGTTGTCAGTTCAATTTCGCATCGAGAAACAGATCGAGGGCAACTTTCAGGTATTCAAGAAAGCTTTTTGATGCTGCTAATTCATTGCACAACGAATACAAAATATCTTCATTATTCATTATCTGCACATCTCAAGTCAGGCATGCCTACTAGGACCTAAATGTTTCATGTGCATTGTTTTGATTTTAGATCTCTGGTTATTTGAGTAATTTCAGTTTCGTTTGATCAAAAGAGTAGGGAATTGTTGTGGTTGTGTTGCTGATAGATAAGATATTGTTGGATCTGACGAGTTGCGAGAGCTGGATAACCTTTAGTTCGGATTTAATATGAGAAATTTTTTATTTTTATTATTGTAAGTATTTGTATTTGAATGAATCTAACATCTGGAATATGATCATGTTTAAGTAGCAGTTAGGTATTTGAAATTTTCTGGTAATATTCTGTTTGCGAAGGATTTATCGTAAGATTTAGTTTCATTGCATTGATGCTAATGATTTTTGTGATCGTTTTGGGGTCTGAATTGTGAATAAATGTCTTAGTCATCTTTGCATCGATAAGGATGTTGATATCTTACTTTTTTTTCAAACTTCCTTTCTGAATGACTTTCTTACGTTCTTAAGCTGTTCCATGAATGAAGGGAAAGCAATCATTGTTATGAGGATTTTAATCTTTGGTGACTTTTTATTCACACATATGATTTGGTCCGATTCATTCACATTTTGCATGGCAATTACATGCGAACGTCAGACGTCCTTCAGTCGTCAAATTAGAGCACTCACTTCAGTGTGTTTCTCCTTCCATTCAGTGCATTTTGGTTTGGAAATCAACTAAGTAGACCAATTGATTTGGAGTGTTTGGCGCGATACGCGATTTGTAGGCAAACCTTTCAGCGATTCAACGATCAGATTTACCGCACTCTGGCATCCAATCGTCGTGCTCATGCAGGCATTGTCAATTCTGCTGCGTTCTAATTCAGTTTCCCAATCAATTTTATTCATTCATTCATTCATAAATTCGATAGAAAAGTTCACAAAAAAACTTCTCTTAATGGAATATGGAATAGACAATCGAACGGAGTTTTCGTTTCGACAAATTTTATTCTAAATTCGTTAAAAGAATGGAATTTTTTAGCATTTGTTTTATGTCTCATCAATAATTCAATTGTGTCGTTGCACTCAAATTGGTAACTCTCACTGATTGACTGGACTGCATAGTAGTAATAATGCATTTCTTGAAATCCAACAAGATAATTTTTTATTTGTAATTTCATCAACAATTTATCATTTGTAATATTTCGTTGAACTTGGAAAATTGTAAAATAATCTGCTGTTTTTTTAAAATCGAAAACACTCCTTGCATTGTTGAGAATATGACTGTTGTGTGATGTGTTCGTAATGATCTAACGTAAAAGCATCGAAAATTCGAAATTTGAGACTGGATTGCCCAAAATGATGGTGCAAATAAAACTTTGATGAATAATGAAGAAAATGAAAATGTTTTCACCTCATAGGTGCGCGTATAGTTACTGAGTGCATTTTGATATTTGTTATTTGTGAGAAGGATGAAATGTTTTGGAATCATAGAATATATTTCTGAAATACTGAATTCAACGATTCATATTGCCTAATAATGTGGATTGATAGCAGTTATAATCCAGATTATGTGCACAAATCGATAGACTGCTCTGAATTGCGTAGACGAACTAATCATTTTGGTGAATAATGAATGCACTTTCGTTTTTCTGCTCTGTTACACTGAAACTGAACGAAGGCATCATGGGAAGCGGTGGAATTTTTTGATTATGAGATTTTTGGGTGTATGATGCGTTCTCGATTCGTGTCGTGTTCGTGTTCTTCATTCGAAGACTTCGTAATCATTGATTACGAAGTCATGACGATTTTGTTCATTTATTATTCACCGAGTTGATAGAAAAAATCGGAAATGTAGTTTCCGGCTAAAATTTTACTTCATTTCATGAAGCATACAATAATAAAATTATTAAAGAAGAATCATTTGTAAACCATTTCCATGGTCCAGATCGAGTGTAATTCCTCAAAGATCTATTGTGAGTTGTCCTTCAGCTGTCCAAATCTGCAAACCAACGCTATTGATTGTATTCGTTGTATTGAATACTCTCGAAAATTATTTTCGATTTTCTACAAAATTCCAATTAAATTTTTCAGTACATCCGAATTAGTAGTATTAAAGCCCTTTCATCAGTCCGGTCCATTCGTAATTGCCTTCTACAGCTTGCTACTATCTGCCAGTGCTTATGATTATTGCTTTAGATATTCGGATATGATTTGAGCAAGTCTAATTATAGCGCTATGTCGAACAAGTGATCTTAGTAGCACTTTTGATAAATGGATAATGCTGAAATTATCGTTAAAATGTATCTTCGTTCGACTTTTGTTCTGATCATGTGAGCATGAATACAGTTGATTGATTGTTATGTATGCATATCTGCGATATTATTTACGATCATCGCAGTTGAAATCACTGAGTGAATACACACACATTCGTTCCTTTGATAGCATTCATGAGCGATGTTTATTATTATGAATATTATCATAAATTAAAGCATCACAGTCTCTGTGTGTAATCCAAAGGGAATTTTACATCAATCCATGAATAACGTCACCAAATGATTATTTCATCTAGCGCAGATGGTCTCTGATCACGACATGACATGTTTTCGCGAGAATACCACATTTTCGAGTCTTACCAAAATGTTGTTTTGTCCACAGAAAGCTTGTTATTGTTGTATTTTATTCGATGTATGATTGCTGCGATGTTATTCGCATTCCAATGGCTTGCCTCCTCATTACTTAAGTGTGAGTATTGAAATTTTCAGGTGAGAATTTTTAATTTATGAATATTTTGCTTTTGCCCATAATACTTATGAACAATAGGCACCTCTCTGATTCGTCTTTCGCGTAATTGAATGTGCTAGTAAATTGTAAACGTCGCATAGAATGCTTATGAATTATTCATTGTCAGCTCTTGAAGATGTCTATAGAAGTGAAATTTTTTCACTCGTAAATTCCAATGGGCTGCTCATCTTTAGTCGATTCACAGTTTTCTGTTTGATATTATCGATCATAGGCGATGTATCGGTCCTTCGTAGGATTATCCGTTGCACAAATATCTTTTTTTACCTTCTTTTGTACTCAAAAGCCTTGCAGATTTTCATATTTGTTTGTCTCGAATTTTTCCATCGTAAATCATTTGTGCATACACATTGGTGACTAGATGAAGATTCGCTGGTGAAGTGCTTTGACAATTCATCAATATTATATTTGAAAACGTTTTAATGTTTTGGTTTGTAACACAACAAAGGCGTGAGTTGAAATGCTTTAAGATTGTTAATGCATTACTTATTTACTTGTAGTGCTTTGAGACTGTTTACTCAGGAAATGTTTTAACATTAAGATGACGAAAGCATCAGTCAATGTCAAGAACAGCGGCAATATTGAACCTTTAAACAGTATTTACTTTTGAAAATGTCCACTCATCGCTTCCGTTTCGCATTCCGCATTCATTTCCGATCCTGCTTAAACTTATGAATCTTTCGTTTGACTTCAAGTCATCAACTTCAAACCATTCTGAGTCATCATCGGGCCGATTACCTTGACTCGCCTAGAGCTTAAAGAACCTGCGAGAAGCTCTTATAGAAATACTTAAAGAGAAAAATTCTCAGTAGGAGAGACTTTAATCGTCGCAAGTTGATCTGATTTTTTTCTAAATGATGGGATCTATTTGGGATTAGAAATGATTGGAATCCACGATCGCTTCTCTAGAAGATCGAATTTTCATGGGATTCTAGAGGGCTTTCAAGATAAGGGATGACTTGTCGAAGCGATCTCTTCACACAGTAATTCATATAATGCCCCTTCCTTCTGCAAAATCATCCCCACCCTTGTCGTTAAGCCCATAAAATTCATGTATCTTAGGACTTTCAAATTTTTCACTCCACTGATTTTAATGACTTCAAAATGCAATCGAAATCACCCCGTTCGTTCGTTCCATCCGTAGTTAATAATCTCACAGGCATGACACAATTACCACCATATTGCACCATTGTAACGTGACAATGAAATTTCAAAGGTGCTGTTGTTACATTTTCCATTCAACCACCCATTGATTGTAATATCATTTTACAGAACAATTGCAAATTGACTAAGTCAAGTCCTATCCAAAGTGTTACCAAATAGGATCTTGAAGTATCCTCCTCATATGTTCTCATTCGCATAAATTGCAGATATGTGCTACTTGTTGAAACAGTGTAATATTAATCTTGATATGCCATGATCAAATTCACTCTTTTAAAGTATGTCAGTGTATGTTACGTAAAACAAACAAATGCGCACGCAGAATCGCAGTAATACCACTCTGTTATTATTCATGACACGTTATCCAAATCAACAAACAATAATAATGATCAGGTACACATCAGACATTATATGTACATGTGTACTTGTTATACCATTATGGACATATTTTAAAATATTATTCAACCAGATCAATTCAGTAGTTACATTTCGTATTTGTGAACGATTGAAACCCCTCCCCTAACAAAGCATTCTGTAAAATCTGTCTCGCCCCTCCTTTGCCTTTGAAATCCATTCGCCTCCTTCCAGTCCAATATGTTGCTGTATAGACAGACAGAACGACCGAAATAGACGGTTATTAATACGGCATGATTACAGTTAATTAGAGTGCTAGATGCATGCGTGTTTACATATGAGTGACCCTGAAGTCCTCAACTGGGATATGTTATATCGACCATATTTTCCTCTAATATCTGTCTGTACTCGTCATTATTTACTGTTTATGTATGCGTTAACATAAAATTTTATTTAGATATTGTTATTATTGTTATTGTTATTGCTATCATTTTCATGCACGCATATTGTATTGTTGTCTCTTTATTGACTGAATAATGGAGAATATCAGGTAGCCCTCGTGGCCTTTGAAGAGTCCTTTACTGGTTATTATTATGACCGCAAAGAACTCTTAAAAGGTCAACGAATTAAAATATGTTAAAATTTTCATGCAATTTAACTTTATTTCCATGCACTCATCATGCGAGTACATCTGCATTTATCTGTCTAACCATCGTGTTAATGGTCTCAGTGTTGTTTCTTTGAATGCCTCTAAATTGTTGAGAAAATGCATTTGGAATAATTCCGTCGAGAGGAATTTTCTCGAACTAAACACGTAACATTTTGGAAATGTTCTTCAAATTCCGGTTCATTTGCTACACTTGGTTAAAATATGCACTTCCTCGGGAATGTCTCAAATGTAAAAATGGCAAAAATGAAAACGACAGTGATATTTCAGAGTGAACAAGATTGGGAGAGTGATCCAGAGTTGAGTGAACCGCTAACAAAGCGACGTCGTGTTGTTGAAGGAAGTACGATAACCGAAGCGAGTTCGGATGATCCACTGAGGAGTGAAGAGGACACCATTCCGTTCGCCGAAGACGAATACGAGAGTATCGTCGATAGTGTCACCATGATACAAACACAGTAGGTGCTACTGAATTACATAGCACGGATCGGGTGCTTGTTCACTTCTAGCGACTTCTGCATCAGAATGGCTTTGTTCAGATTTGATGCATCAACATTTTCTAGGACAAGAATGCTTGATGGAACATCACCCCTACCAGCCAATGAATCGTCTGAAAAAGAAGAGCTCGAGCCTCAACCGGATATCGGTTATTCATCCGGTGAGAACTCCATACACGAGGCACTCAACGAAGTCGCGTCAGTAATTTATACTTCACTTGCAATTAGTCGTAAAGCTTTCAAGATTTTAAATGGAACGTCGATTTCGTACTGATGAAAATTTCTAAATTCGGTTGGATCCAACTCAATCGTTGTGGCAATTTCATCATTGTAAATATCGAAATGTTCATATCGGTTTGAGTAAACCATACAGTCCGTCATATGTACATAGTATTCGAATTATGATTTTGTACTCGCTTGAAGGATATGAGCAACGATTCGAATGAAATATCTAAAAGTTGTTGTTTTCAGTGGTCTAACAACTCTATCCACAACAGCGCTAACAGTAAATGAATCAAATCAAGAGAATATGATCATTGCGAGCGATTTTGAACGGAATGGTTGCATAGAAATTACTTCACCTGTGAAGAGTTTCTACAGGACCGTCCCACTTGATGATGCTGGTCAGTATTTGTGCCATATTGCAGAACTTTTTATGACTTTCCGAGAATTTGGATTAATGATTTCATAATGTCCTTCTTAATGAAAGATCCGCACCACTCATCCAAGCAGAAATAGTTTCGATCGGATTGATATCATGTTAACCTTTCGCTATCTCAGGAAACGCCTTACAGATCCAGTTTTATGAATTCACCTTCAAACTGTCAAAAATGTTAAAGTTCACCTCAGTCCACTCAAATTGTTTATTGCAAATTTTCTGTCAAAACATAATACTAAACAACTTTTTGGTTTATAGGCGTAACAGATACGGAAACACCTCGAATATGTGTCACGAAATGGTCATCAAAATTTATTAATGCCACGAATAATATGGATGATAATAATAATAACAATGATAACGTTCTAACGGATTCATTGATTGTGAACACAGAAGATGAGACCGATATTGTTACGGGAAATGATATTAAGGTGAGACCCAAAACCTCGTTTCAGTGGCAATTGCGAATTCAGTGACGAACAAATCTCGCCGATTTAATTAATCTAGCTGGAGTACGCAATGTTTCGGCATAATAGATGAAAAGAATACACGGGCAGTTGGCTGCGCCAAAGTATGCTTAGGCGAAAACAGTGGCGCCGAAACATCATTGAGACGAGGCGATGGCGCCGAAATGACCCCTTGATGCCTTAGTACCTGCTCTCTTGTAGTGTACATTATCGGAATAACCAGTAATTTGGGGTCGTCAAAAGTTATGATGAGTATTTAAAGGAGATCATGTCAATGCTGGACGATGACGAGAATGGTAATCTACAAAGTAGTCAGTTTCAACAGCAGATTGACGTGCTAAAACAAGGCACTCGATGGCGTGAACTGAGATCAACTCAGACGCCGTCACGTCGACACTCCCATAAAACCACCAGTCATGACAACTCAATTGTTGGTGACGATAAGGTGATTCAGCCTTCAGCGTGATCCTTTTATGGCAGCAGCATTCACTTTAAGAACAATTTCATCTCTGATTACAATCAGCACTGCAAAATTCTTAGTCTCATGAATATAACATCATTAAACTGCAAATTAGCTTGATTTGGTGAAACGAACTCATCATCACTTCAATTTCCTCCTTTCTTTTTTCTTTTTATGATCAGTTTGAAAAAATGGCTCATGAAAGTGACAATATTTCGGAATTTTGATAGCCAATGAAAGTATTCTAATTGTAAGAAAATTTCGGATTACTGGAAGGTTTCCTTCCGTACCATGATCAGTATCATTAAATTGTCAGAAATTCGGATAGTAGCATTCATTGTAAACAGCACATTGTACCGTTTGGGAATCACAGAATTTCAACGAAACTTTTAATTTAGCAAGCAATGAAAGAATTCCAGAACTCTTGCGATGCATCAAGTGAAGAGAGTGATGACGGATGCGATAATATTGCCATTATAAGTAATCCAGTCAGCGAGTCGCAATGCAACTCACTTAAACGACCTCATCGTACTCGAAATCATCATCCTTCTTCATATATTTTCTCGAATGCCTATCAAACTCTATTCAATTCATCCACTGGTACCATTAATAAGGTAGCTACCTGTCTGTCTATCAAAAATGCCTTCGTCCAAAACAAACTCACAGAGATTTCCGATCGAGAAGGAGGAATTCCTTCTGCTTTCAGTTTATGTTTTCAATTCAAGTTGGCAAACTAAATAAATTATCACTCTACCTCAGGAGATCTCAAAATTTCCGCATTTCCGACAGAAACAATTCTCCTGTTAAATTTCTGCCATGAATTCAGCCATTCAAATTTGAGAATGAATAAAATGAAGCTCAAAATTTGGTAAAATTCATCTAACAATAAAATAATGCAGATTCCGGAAATTTGCTATTGTTGGCATGACTTTTGTTTGAGTTTCTCATCGAGAGAAACTTCTGTTTTGAATGAATGAAAAGCATAAAATTGCTGAAAATAAACCAAGCAAGTTGAAAATAAAGTAACCAATTGAAGGAGATGGACACTAGTATGCTCTCCACATATTCCTCACAAGCTCAGTCTGATTTGATGTCAACCAGTGAAATACTAAGCAGCAATCCGTTCGCCTATTCACACATCGTCACTTCATCATCAATACGAACACGTCGTAGCGCAAGACGTAAATTGCGTGCTAGACGTCTACCACGTTCGATGTCTGACGGTGAACAGCTGGGAACGTCCATGAATGGTTGGTGTTGATATTGTTAGCTGACTTTTGCTTGATACAGTCTGATATTGCGTTCATTCCTTCTCTGACATAATCAATGAGGGTTCGTTTCGTCAAATCTGTGAATTTTTAAGAAGCAAAGTCGCAAACTCTTCTAATGAAATCAAAGAGTTGTTTCTTATCTCCATAATCTCTCTGCAAAGGGAAGAAAGATGTTTCATGATAAAAGAGTTTGAAAGCAGCAGAGCAAAAAATTTTTAAATTTTCCATAGCAAAGCAAATTTCAAATGTTAGTTAGTGTGGTAGCTGTGATTTTTTCTATGCAACACCATGAGATTTGCTTTCATTGAATATGTGTGTATGTGCGTCTAGATACAATTCAGTAGGCTCATACCGTATACAATGCATCGTTTCATACAAATGAAATCAATGCAATATTTGTTACATTCATCAAATTATCATAATGTTTGTTTGGGTTGTATATGTAATCATCATAATACGAATACAGAATCAGTTTGGGTGTTTTCGATTAATGCAGATGAGTAGGTGAGAATTATATGTGTGATACCTGTGGTGTTGTTATAATGATCTCATTAGTAACTTAATGATAAATGATATGATAATAGTCCCTGAATTGTATCCATCTGTTTATGCGCAAACGAATGTGTACATCATTTCAGCGTCAACCTATTCGGCACCACCCGCAACAAATCCGTCGTATCATTGCAGAACTCCTTTACGCGACTCAGACACCACCACCACAGCCCCAGAGCATAGTGATGCGCAAACGTATGAATGGGATGAATACAATGTTCGTTTTTGCATTCATATGAGTTCACTTTTTGTCACGAAATTTTAGTTTTTTTTGTCACATTCAATTGCATGTCCGTATGAATTTATTCATCGAGTTTTTTTTCGCACTTTGCTGGTGAAATATTGACGAATGCTCTCACATTTCTTAGAATTTTTCATTTTGCCTCAGGTTTTCCTTTCTCACCGCAATTATTTTCCTGGAAAGTTCACGAACTCAGCTCGTATTCGTTATGCGTATCGTTCAAATGTCTAATTTCTCACTGATTTGGTCTGAATCGCACGTTCAGCAATATTGATCACAACGCAACTTGTTTTGTTGAGTTAATTGGAGCTCAAAATTTGTTTGCAATAATTTTATTAGTTTAGATGAAAGTAACACTTTCAGATGTAAAACATGAACTGTACCTGTTTTCTTTCAGAACATTCATGCCTGTTTGAAGAAGGAGGAATGGGGAGCTTTTGACTAATCGATGTGACATATTCACTTTTACGGTTGACAAAACGAATCAGCCCTAAATTTCAGCCGCAATGAAAATAATTCATAGTAAACAAGCAAAAGACATAAATTGTATGTCTATCTTCACAATTTTCATCGTGTCACTCACAATCGCGTACAGAATTTGTGAGACAAATAATGTTGCTGGTTCACCGCATTATCTAATCGAATGCATTTGTTTATGAAAATACTCAGCAGTCCATCTGCCGAAGTTTTGAAATGAATACTTTTCATACACTTTTTATTCATTCACTGTTCACTATTGACAAACAGACACGTGCAAATAGAAATGTGTTTCTTTTGTAGTAGTAAATTTGATGTTACCTTTCGGCTTTCTGTTAATTAAGCAAACAACCCTAACTGTTTTACTGGTATTTTTAATGCTCTAACAGTTTTTATATTTCGTCACTTGTTGCAAAAATAAGTACACCCTATAAGTTATGTTTGTTTTGTTTTAGTTTGTTTATGTGAAATCTTAGAAGTAGAGATTATCGAGTTTGGAGTGTACAGGTGAAGATGAAGTTGGAAGTTCAGTAGAAAGATCTGTTTCGGGAAGTGCAGCCAAAAGATTAAACGATTATAAATTGTTTGTATTTCACATATAGGAAGGGAAGATAAGAATGCGAGCATACGAATGGAATTATCCTTTTCTCTGTTCTCAACCTAACAATGGAAGAGTTCGAAGTTTTTGCTGAAAATTAGTCAATTTCTTGAGTTAATCACGTGAGGTTTGTTTTAGTGGCTGAAGAGAGTTTGAACTTTAGCAAAATTGTTGAAGTTTGTAATCGAAGAAAACCTCAAACTGATGACTAATTAATCATAAATTCAAGTGTTTTGTTCCGTATTCTTAGTGTTGAGGAAGTGGAAAGCGTTTTCCATTATTTGGATCGAATCAAATTGGTTACTTTAGCGAGCGATTTTGTGTTTGCAATGAGATAAAGAAGATCTTAAGAACTCCAAATACTGAGCTCACTAGATTAGTTGTCATGGCTACCGTCAGCAAAACGCAGCAAGCCTACCACAAACACAATTTTCGAATGACGTTTGTGTGTATTCTCGTCTTCAATATTGATTCTTGTTGCCCTATTTTTCCAGACGCTTCCTTAAAGCATATCTTGTTTCATATTCGATTGTCCTCTTTAGCTGTTCGTTTGTGTATTTCTCAGAGCAATCGTATTAAAATATACGTACATATGAATTCTAAATTCATACAAATTTCGAGATATTTTGGTAGTAATTACAGTTTATGCATTGCCAGACAATAGAAGGTTTGTTTTTACTTTATACAAATCTATTAGGCAACATAAAGTCGAAATTCTCATTGATTATCTCTTCAGTCTTTCATCCATTTTGAAAAGGGTAATTTGCTTTCGCTGTATAATCGGATAGGTCCATCAATTGCGTTTCTTTTCATCTTAAGTTTGTTTAAAATTTTCTTCGGAACTGAAGGTTGTCCAGAACTGTGAGTAGTGAACACTGTCCTTAATTCAAAACCTGATCCAAAATTTGTTATTATTGTTACGAACATCATTATTATTTTGCTATGAATCAGTCAGTCTAGATTCACTCTTAATATTCACTCACTTATATAAACACTTTACTGATCTCTGCATGTTTTTTGATTAAATATCAGTACTACCAATCAGTTTTTATCATTGAATAGATTTAAAAGCATTTCAATTTTTTTCAAAAAATTCTGCAACGTTAAACTTAATTAATGGATTTGATCGATAAGTCCAGTCAGCCCACAGAGTCAGCAGATGTGTTGTGGTTGTTTCTTTTTGCTGATTGTTTTGCTGTTTCGCTTTTTTTTCAATTAACTCCATCTAATCCACTTATGATCAGAGATTATAATTATTTCTCTACTTATCACATTCTGTTGATTACAAATTTAGTGGCTTTTCAGCTGTTGTTGTTCACTGGAAAATCTTTCCAGTTTTCAACAAATCCATCTATCGATAGATTTTACATTTCTCTACCAATTTTTTGCACTTTTCATTTGCACCATCTCGATACAATCCACTATTAGGTGGCATTTGCATGAATGTGTTCATCACACTAGCTTGAACCTCAAGCAGCTGCTGCACCATCAATTTTATCAAAAGTTCATTATTGATGACTGCAATTAGCCGTGTTGATGTAATCATATGTGTGAAGTTTGTTGTTTCACTGTTACCTAATCAATTGGTTCTCTTTGAGAAAGTGAATCGATCGAATCACCCCGTATCTAAATGCACCATTTTTAGCCACCAGCCAAAATAGAGGATGGATGGATGGGTTATGATGAGGAACGTCAGGATGCATCAGCTTTAACACTCGCCGACGACGACTTCCAGATGTATTTAGGTGACGATGTGAGTTCGTTAATCGCCGAATCACGTGCCTCACTTCGAAGTGCTCAATCGCTGATCAATCGTCAACCCAGTCGACAGTCACTTGTACTTTTCACGATATTCATTTTTTGTTTGTCCCTCTTTTTGGTTGTGATACTCGTCGTTAAATCTGCACATCATCACAATCCCATATTCGTTTACTATTCGTAACTCATTGTACGTTCATCGTTACAAGATCACCTCTCAACATTCCACTCATTTCACTATGCACTCCCCATTTGTATTATACGTTTGTTGTACGATTTCATTCATTTTTTGTTGCTTTTTTGTTCATTGAAATTCACAAATTCTTCATAATGCCGTCGTATCATCATCATCTGTGATATAGTCAAATCTCTGCCATATGCAATTTTAAATATCTTCTCAATAAAAAATTCTTTATAATCTTCTCCAGTTTTCATCTCATTCAAATAAACTCTCAAGCTTTTGAATGTTCAGGAAGATTTGCGCACGTTGGCGAAAGCAAATTCTGAACGTTTGACGGCTACAGTGGTAGCGAACCCTCGGCTACGTATGGTAAGAAACTGATTGAATTCGCACACACACACACACACTAATCCGAAAGAGTTCATTCCAGACTTTCGAGTTTGCACTTTCATATCAAAGCTGTTGTTATAAGTTGTTGTTAGAAATAAGCTAGCAATAAAATCTGTCAAGTTCTAGTTAGTAACAAACTATTTATCAGTTATTCATTAAGCTGCGAATGTAGTCATCCCTTGCTGGGTTAGTTTAGCTCATGGATGACAAATGTACCGAGATGAGTAGAATTGCATGTTGTTGTTAACCTGAAATGAGGTTACTGATGATAACTTGAAACGAGGTTAATCAAACGGAACGGATTATGGCAATTGCAGTAGTACAATGTGAAGTGTGAACGAATCTGTGAGATTGGTAGGTCATTGTACCGATGAGATTATCATGACTTTGTAGGGTAATCGCATGTAATGAACACATTCAGTTAATGCTCTCTTGGAAGATGATTAAGTTTTATCTTCATTATAATTTCGTCTGTCATGTTCATATTGCAATGAGGTGAGCTGTCGCTTTGTGACAGGTGTATGTATATCTTATTAAGGCCCTGCATAATATTTATATTTGAATGATATTCATGATATAGTCATTGCACTAATAATAATAATAATAATTTGAATAGTGCTTTGAATAATCGAAACAATATTTCAGGAGTCTCTGAATGATATCGACGATGTAAATAAAGGATGGAGTGCAGTTTTGTCGACAATTGATTCACTGAGCACGTCAGAATGTTGTGACGATAAAACGGTGTTATCCACGTCTGACACTACTCCAGTAGATTCCACTTATTCGGGTTGTGCGGATGATTCGCCGCTGCCGAGAATTCTATCGAAAATCGAAAAATTCGCATCATCTCTGAAGCTGATCCAAGAGGATAACGATTGCTCTGCGTCATCGCTGGGTTCACTCTCGTCAATACGCTCGTTTGACGACGTCGTGAATGCGATCAAAATTTTTACGGTTCGTACCAAACTTGGAATTCATTGTGATGTTCAAGCTGCTCGCTAAAATCTCCAGTTTAGATGATAGGCAATTGTTCAGTCTCATTTATGACAATCTTAACTGCAAAGTTATCTCGAAGAAGGGAATCTATGCCACCAAGCATGAATTGCTTGAAAATTAGACATTCACTTGTGGTCTTATCGAGCAAATATTGCTGAATGTTTGCTGTCTCTTTAGAACCTTTGCAAACCACAATGTAAAATTTTACGATTGAATTTCCAAGAATTTCTCCCTCGCAATTTGATTTCCTTTGCCGTCATGAATCATTAATGTTTCATTCTCCTGTAGCAGTGAGGTGTAGTGTAGTTGTCGTATTTCATATCAGAAATAAATCATCATTCTGTGGTATCTTTTCGGAATTTGTTTGTCATTTTCTTACAATTCGTTTCATATTTGGGCTTTGATAGTGAATAATTTTCAGTCAAAACGAACCGTCACTTATAAATTTCATTATTGTTAGATAGCAATCATGCTCGCTGCAGTGCACTTTGAAATATGTGCTCGATGCAAACTTTTATCGATATGTTATGATATGATCACATCACAGCGCCATCACACCAAAATCAATCTTTTTCTGTAATCAGTCATCAATCACTGTTTCACTTCTAGATTTTCGTTATCGTTCGATCGATTGAGAATGCAAAAAAAGTTTCTTTTAATGCGTAATTTTTTCTTTCCTATTCCAACAGCACATCATCATAGAGTGTCAATATCATGATTCATTCTTACATCTTTTCATCTGTTCTCAATTTTTCGTCGCAGTTCTGTCGTTGTGCAGTCAGCGATTTTGTTGTTTGTGTGATATTTTGCTTCTACGATTTATTCCAGTTTTTATTTATCCAAACATTTATACATCTTTATCATTTTCAATATAGCGACGATGGTTCATCATTTAGTGTTGCTATGTGTTCCATGTATACTTGGTATTCCTTTCTGAGAAAACTGGAAATTTTTCGTATTTGTTCCTTCATTGTGTGAAAGTACTTGGCCTGTTGCTTGATTCTCTGAAGATGAATGATGGAGACTTGGAAATTTGCGAAAGTAATGAAAAAAGTCTTCTAGGGAAGTTGCTATAGGATTTGTTTTTAGGAAATCCATAGTCGTTTAGTAGAGGAACGTGAGGAACTTCGGTGTTTGCTGAATTCGTCGACGTTCAGTGGGGATTTGTCGTATTTGATCGCCGATTTCGAACCACTTTCGATGGGTTACGAAGAAGCGATTGAACGTGTTGAACAACTCATGAATCAGATCGAAAAAGTTCGTGAGAGTTGGAGTGATTGGGCCGATACGCAGAACAATCTGCAGATTGTTATGAGTGGCATTGAGCAGGAGCTGAACGAGCTGCGAAAAGGAGATGACAATTCTAAGGTTCGTTCGTACTCTGCCTTCGGTTTCAAGATCATCTGGAATACTTATCACATGATTGTAGAGTAGGGATTCCCATAGGGAGAAAGTACGCATTTTGGGTGATTTGTGGGTGTCAAGGGTAATGGAGGGGTCGGGAAATTAACATTTTTTACAGTTGTTATGATATGATGGAACGATATTGTAATGGTGATTTTCCTCTTGGGTATGTATACATCGTGGAATCACCTGGAATTATATCAGCATCAATTATTCTTAATCCAACAAATTTTTCAGCAAATTTGCTCTGAGCTCGAGATGTGTCAAGAGCGTATGAATCGTTTGGAGACGGTTTGCAATTATTTGACCTCAAATCTATCGATACTCCATGATAATAGTACCTCAAATGCACCCGCGTTGAATTTCACCTCTGAGTTGGCTGTCTATTCGAATGCGTTGGGACAGTTGAAGGCCAGGTAGTGTGCTCGTTTCCTCATTTACATGTCGCATTTGCAGACCTATTTCATTTGCTCCTTATGCGGATTAATGTAGTGACGAGATATTGCGTTGTTTTGATCAAATTTTTCCGTTGGAAACAGCAACTTTTCCGGAAACGAATTGAGCACAAAGAAATTTTCAGCGATCCAGAAGCCTTCAGAACTATCAAATTTCTTCTTGGGTAAGTATAATTGTAAAGGAGCAAAGACCTAATTGAGTGCCTGGGATGGTATAAGTGAACAACAGCAAAATAATAATCCTTATGCATGAATCTACCGCTTCAAGCAAACATTTCTTTTCTCAACGCATTTAATCCTTGCTTTAACGGGGTTTTTCTTCTGCTAAAATTTTCGCCTTATACACGCACACACATACAATTGTGTGTGGTGTAATTTTTGAGTGTCAACGCTTTTTGTTACAGTACTGTGGTGTGGCTGCCTGCGAGAAACGAGCGTTATTGGTTGATAATTAATCGCAATTTCCTGAGATCACATATGAATCGGAAAAGTCTCATCATTGTTTTCGCATAATTCCCATCGAAGTTGTTCATTTCAAGAAGCGCGTAACATTAGTCTATTAACGCGCTTGTTTCGTAACAAAACAATATTCTGAGCTTATTTCTTTGAGGTGTTCCTGAATCGGAATGCAAAATGCTGGTGTATGACTGCTGATTGATTTGAACTGAAATTTGCAAGTCCTTATGATAAAGCGCCGTTTCCCTTAATGGGAAGGAAAGTGTCCACTGGGTGTAAATGGAGTCAAAAGTCGCCATTATCACTAATATGCGAACAGCAAAAATTCACTGCTAATTCCTTCGATTATCGACATCGGCTTATTGTCAGAATCAATATCAGATAACTTATTGACATTGAATTTAGGTTCGAAGAAACATTACGTTCCACGCTGATGTGTGATAAAGCAACATGGATCAATGATGCTGCTATCGCTGGAACGAATCAAAAAAGCGATCGCCTTCCTAGACGACGTCTGAAGACCGCAGAAAGTGGCACCAATACAATACCAACAGCTCAAACGAGAATATTCGATGTGATTTTGGGTAATTGGGCTTTTCAGGCGTTTGTCCTGTTAGCCGTAATGGCCGCGTTCGCTGCTTGGCTCATTTCGATTGACAATCGCCTAACGAACAATTGGCGTAGTTCCGTGGGTCCTCACCTCGATTACATCGATGGTCCTCCACCAATGTAATGAGATTTAATTTCTTATCAACCCATACAGTTTTCAGCCTTCACATCGTACTGTTTTAGCCGTAGTATTGTAGTAGCCACACTAATTTTTTTTTTGGATTTTTTGAAAGTAAGTTTCATTTCTGTCATAATTTTCACCATTGATCATCTTATCTGTTTGTCTATATATGTACTCGTATGCGCGATGTCCGTCCATAAGACCTCAATATTCGACAACTTTCCGAAAATTTTTGTTTCATATTATCTCAACTTTGTTATTGTCATCTATATACCATCGTTTATGATTAAGATCAATGATACCGTCAAAAGTATTGATGTACTGAATACTATTTGTAAGGAATGTGACAAATTTCAGTGTTGTTTGTAAGTTTATGTGGTGTTTTTGTGGAAGAAATTGTTCTCTGTTGTTCGTTGCCTTATCGTATAGCGCACTTATTGTGTCTATTCATTGATTACCGTTTTTTTGAAATTTGTTACTCTTATTTAATTGATGTTTTTTGACGAAGTAATTAATATTGATGATGCCCCCACCCAGTGACCGGTGCTATTGATTAATTCTGTTGTTTTTATCTATTCATGTGCTATCGTCTTATCATGCGCACAGATGCAGCCACATAGCACATGTCTGACAAACTCATGCGCGATACTTGTAGGTACTGTTTATTTGTTATGCTAACTTACTTGCGTCTGTGTATTATTCTTATATCTTGTATTGAGAGTTTTCACTTTTTTGATTTTTTCTTTCGACCGTAGCAGAAAATATGGAATGAAGCATGAGTTGAAAACATTTGAGTAAATTTGTGTTGTTTCAGTCCATCCTGAAGTAGATCATTAGAATCAAGAAATTTTTTGTTGCTGGAATCGACGAAGTGAGAATTATGTTATTAGTTGTTCTATTCAAGAACATTATGTTATTAGTTTCGTTATTGAAGAACATTCGAAGATGCTCACTAACATATGATAATCTGTTCGAATTGTATACATACATGTATTCACAAATATTCATAATCTTCTAATGATTTTGTTCTTATTAACATACGGTCATCATGTTCTCGATCACATTAAGATTTTTACCAGTTATCTCCTGTTTTCGTTCGTTCCTTTATCTCAAATGTATGATTTTTGAGGATGTTGAAATGATTGGCGGCGTCAAAGTTTCCTGTGGAAATCTGAGCGTAGTTGCTATCATTTCTTCATTATTTGATTTTGTTACACAGATGATTATATTTCATATATAATGTAGTTGATATAGTTCAATTGAGACCGTTGTATAATGTGTAATATTCAACGTTGAAATTTTTTATGTTTATGATTATTGAATGTTTTTTGTTAATTCATTTCGAAAAAAATCATTGTTGTTATTGTTTTTTGATGTTTTGTTTTTCGATTGCTTTTGATGCATTTTTGAGACGAATGGGGCATCTTTTCGCACAGTTTTCCACATGACGGCTTCAGGATATCAGTTCAAATTCCGAAGCAAAAATTTTCGATTGCTTCGTAAAATCGAATGATATGTTTGAAAAGATTCCCAGTTCCAGCGAAAATTTGCTGAAAATCTTGGTCCCAACCGAAGTTTATTTCATTACCGTTGAATCGAGAAGGATCTCGACTTTCTGAAAATAGAAATCGTGCCGAGAGATTTCTTTAGCTTTCTGAAGGTATATCACTGAAAATACTCAAAGCACCGGTCCATCGGAATAATCGATAGTTTGCCAATCTGCATGTGGATATTTTAGTATCGTTGAATCTAGAGTTCCGTGTGAATAAAACAGCGGAATTTTCGTTTAAGAATTTCTGGTTTTTCGGGAGTTACCAATGGCCGATAGTGCGAAAATGTTTGCTGAGCAAAGCAATTGTATTTCGATTGGCATCTCTGCTCTGTAACGATTACGGTATTCGTTCGTGCACACTGCAATCGATCATTGTAATTTATGCGGTTTCACGATAAAATTACTTCCGCATTTCATATCACAGTGAAGTTTTGCGACGAAATATTCTTTGCTGTATTGATTCGTTTTCGTTTCATTCTCGAAATGATTCCACCTGATTGATGGTCACTGAATTTGTGGAGTGCAGATGAACTCTGCAGACGGAGAACCTAGGAAAACACCGAAATGGTCCGGTGAACACTAACATATATCCCTTACTATCAACAGATCAAAACAGAAGCGACTGCTGAAAGACAGATTAAAACGTGATAACATTCTGTCACGGTAAATTATAAGCGCCTTTCAAGAAGGAACATTCAAAATATAATAGAAATTTTTATCACCAGTCAGATTTTTTGCAGAAATTCATAAAGCAATAAATATTATCACTATTTGATCGCAATTGAAGCTTTGTTCATAATTGAGTGGACATCATAACGCTGAGCTTATCGACATTCGTTGAAAGCATATTGAGTTGAACACGTAAATTTTGCTGTTGTTTGTAGACGCTCGATAGACGATCTTGCGTTTCGGTGAATGACTGAAATTTGTTTGTGATTTTTGCGGATTTTTTTGCGTTCAAACGATTAATTGAACAAAATGGCTTTGAGAAATTGAAAAGTTCGAAGACATGCTCTTGATGTTCACAACTTTAAGAATTCATGAAGAACCAACCTTTTTGAACGCAATGTAATCGTCTTCATATTCCAAACGCATTCTCAACTTCCACCGTGCTTTCCGGAATCTGTAATTGAGTGTTCAGATCGAATGTAACTCAGATGAATAAATTTGACCGACATCAGATCAGTCTGTCCAACTACGTAGAACTTATTTTGTTTGAATGAAATCCACTAATCGAATAGTGCTAAGAATGGCGTTTTCTGCCACTTCGTAGTGGTAAATAAGGTTCGGTGAAGGTTTTCTCGATCATTTATCTGTCATGGCCAAGCATGGAATGAAATGACAAAGTTGAGTCTCTTTTTGTTCTGAAAGGCAAATTCAAACACCGTGAACAACATTGTTTTCTTGAACACTGACCCCGTGATAGCGGTCAGAAGATTACGTTGTTCATTGCGGAATCTGTTGATTGCCTTACGGTGTGCCGTGCCATTCTCGGTCTTCATCAAATGTTGCTGCTTCAGGGCTCGCCACGTACTCTGCAGTACGCGGGCTGCCGAATGTCTATATCTGAAGTTAGTGCTGACAGTGTTCTTGACATTTAAAATGATACTCTCAATTTATTTTTTCAGAAATTTTCCACTCTAGATTTCTGAATAGAACTACTTAATGACATGAATGAAGTTGGCTGAAATCAGTTCGACTTTGATTTCTCACAAGATGGTATGTTTTTGTCAAAATAGGATTTGCCGATGAAAAGAATTAAACTGAGGAATGAAAAAGTGATTCGAATACCGTTACGTATGATGAAGATGAGCTGAGCGCTGAAAATTTGCAACAGTAATAAAATTAATCGAAAATAATTCATAAATGTACTGAGTCGATAGTTGTGATTCGGCGATCACTTGGTTAACTCTTCGTTCAGCTAAAGATAACTGCATTTGACGGGCGACTAGTGCAATTAACAGCGACGACATCAAAGTTCCCTTAATTTTCTTATTTTAGTTTGCATTTTGCCTCAATTCAAGGCCATTAATTTTTCATTTTTCAGATTTAATTTTTCATTTTTCAGTTTTTTTCAGCTTCTGACTGGAGAAATATTCAAAGTTTTGGAATAAATCTAATTTCTTCTGAAATCATCACGAAAAACAATACATATTCTGGTCTTATTGAGAGAAAATGAAAATAATACGTTGCGCAATTGCAAAAGTGTCTTAAGATTCAGTTGTCCCCCAAAAAGGTCGTGTGGAGATAACATATTCCAGAGTTCGAAAACTTACTCATAAAGATGTCCCCAAAGGTTCAATTATCCCCAAAAGATAAATATCGAAAACAAAGTAACTCATAAACAAAGTTCGAAAACTCACGACAACACCCGTAATAATCGCCAGTGCTCTACCACAATAAGTCTGCACTTGTACGTCACCGTAACCAATCGAGAAAAACGTCTAAAAGTTTCATTTCGTTTTCGGATTGATCAGAAATATTCTGTGCCAGTTTTTCTTCTTCCCTAATTCATGCTTTAATTTTTGTAGTTTTGTGATGAGATGAATTTTCCAGCACGCTTGCATCTTTCAATGCAATTTCTGTGCAGATTATACGTGAATGATAGCGTTATCGAAGGGGTATTCCTTCAATCCACCCCGCGCATCGAACCAGAACTTGCTTTACGGAAATCATAATGGTAAGACCTAATCAAAACTTACAACAACTTCAAACCATATGAAATCGATGAGATGTCGACTGCTGGCAATATCGCCATAGTGAATGTATCTGAAATTTTGCATCTTGAATCTTGCAGAATCTATATAATTCTGGAATCCTTTCATTCACTCGCATGATTTTCCATTTGATCAGTTATTTTCCTCCACTGAACAAGATCGCTTTTGCATTATCGAATTCACATCGAAGCAATATTTCATAGTCCATTTTGTTCTTGATTAATTGGATTGTTCAACTTCAAATGAAAACCTTTCACACTGGGTCAGCATCCACGCAAGAATCACCCAGAAAATGGCCGTTGTGGACGTTATAATGGAAAGAGGCCTTTCGGTGAGTTGACTCCGAACAACGAACGCGAAATCCACACTGATCTGATTCAGACTTGCCATCGCTTTCGTTGACGGATCCTGAAATCGATTTGCTACGACGAGTTTAGTCTCTTGCATAACTCCATGATGCTTTCAAATGTTATTCGATGCGAAGAATTCAATTGCATTCCAGTTCATATGGAATACTGTCAACGCAATGAATATTTCTATTTCCATTTGCTGTTGTTGAATTGTATGATCGTTAAAACTAACTCATAAAAATGAATTGACTCAAGAAGAGTTTTTATTTGCTGTTCTCAATGCTAATATATTATGAATGCTTATATATTATGAATGTTGTGCTTATATAGTATGTATGCTCGTCGTTATTTTTTTTGTTCTAATCGAGTATGACTATTTCGTTTGCCATACATACAAATTCTAAGTAATTATTGGGCCCGGCGCAGAACACCAATATTTCATATTATCTATTTGAAACTCTTAAGCGATTCGATATAGTGAAAATTGGCACAATTGAATTTTTAACGTCTAAAAAATTAATAAATGATGTTGAAAATGTTTCAGAAAAGCGTTTGTATCGATCGAAGGTTCAACTGAGCAATCAATTTTCCACTGCTCCAGCACAAACATTTTTATTTTGTAATCTTTTTTGAGCGATTGAATGAATTTGATTTTTTTTTCAAAGTATCAGTTGAAAAAATTACCTGAAATTGAACACTGTGTAAGACGAAGTAACGACAAGCAATGTACAATCGTAGAAACATCGGTAAACACAGCAAAACGTCGATGGGAATCTGTACTCTGTGTGGATAACGTTCATTCAGGCCGAGTATTGGCCAGTCCACCGTACCAATACCTTCAATGGAAATTTCTTCAAAATATTTATGCTGATCGTCCAGAGTTTTATTGCCATATACACGTTTCATAGTGTACTTTTGTATGTCATTATATGTATTCTTGCAAAATACATTTTCGCTGATATATTGTGAAATTTTATCGTGAAATCGTGAAAAATCGTTTGAAAATCTCATAAGTTGGCTTGAAAAGGTCACTCGATCTGTTAGTGATGCGGTAAATATATATTAAAAGCAGATTTTTTAATGTAATGATTTGGAACAGGCTTGATGACGGACAGATCAAAATATGAATTTCAATCAAAGTGAGCAAAAAATTCTGATGAAATATTCTGATGCCAAAGAAGAGAGGTACTTGCCTGGAACAGGACATATCGAACAAATGCTCAGCTCAATCAGCAATTTGATGAGCCGTTCTAACGTTATACCAACACGCCAATAATCAGTACCCATTTCGATTAGTGATATCTGAATGGCATCGAAAATTTCATCAATTAACTTAAATTCACCATTTTAAAGCTCATTTCAATTGATTCCGTCGATTGTCTCGAATAATTTTGAAATTAATTACTGAAATTAATTCTAGGTAAAAAACCAATCATTGGATCGTAGCATATGTTTTTTTGACCTATTATGAGATAAGAAAACTGAGATTTCTGCTGTGGTGAGCTTTCGTCTCATTGAATTCTATGTGGAGAGGAGGATTGTAAATGAAATTCCACTCCACACTGTGAGCTCTATGCTTTGTGATACCTATTTAGCTATCTATAATCTTATTGCATCGCTTAAAAAAAGAAATCAAATTAAGGAAGGTGTTACCTTTGCTTCTATACAATGATAGATAACAAGAAGTATGTCGAGCAAAATAGTTGAGGTAATTATGAATACTTTCAAGACAAAAACTATGAAAATGAAGAGTGGTGACCGCGGATACATCGCCTGAAATATGCAACTTGAATTTTGAGGATTTTTTAGCATCTTAATAAATGAATCATGATTAAACACCATTCCCTTGGATGCCTGTTGTAAACTCCGTGAAGAGTTTCCTGGAAAAAGGCTTCGAAACGTTGAGGATTACGTCGTGAATACCTTGTTATGAACCTTTAGTGCGCTGCCCTTTCGTTTCGATCAAGCTCATCTTATGATTTGATCTGATGATCGGATTTTTTTTTTCTTGAATGTTTTCCTATTTTCCAGCCAATTTAATCATACAAACATCAAAATCGACTATATTGTTGACGTTCAGATGCGAAACGTTCCCTTTTTCCTCAGCAGCCAACCAACCCCTTTTTCAATCGCTTGTCGTCAACCTTTTTAACACAACTTATCATTTATTCTATTAGCGTGGCGAAATTTTTTTTCGTCAATCGCAACGTAATGCAAAAATCGAATCCGAATTAACATTCTTTACGTTTCTCACCGATAACGTCAACGTCTCTATAGCGACGGTGTGCAATTATTAGGCACTCACCTCAATTCAAATAAATTTATTAATTGAATTTCAATGCTTAACGCATTTTCAATCGTCCTCTTGGGCTTGCTTATGGCAATTTTTTCATCCGTTCGAACAATTCATGATTACAACAAGCAACAATTCGAGATATGTGTACTACAATGAGAATGAGAAATTGTTGTACTGGTTTTTCTGAGAGAAATGAATTGATTATGATGTTATCCTCATGACGCTTCACAATCGGGTGCTTTTCACTGGAGGAAATTCTTTAATCCTTCAATTTCCCAATGTAATCTATACGAAATGATCTTTTCGTCTTAACAGCTTTGCAATTAAGCAGCAGCTTTTAACTGTAACCTTTACTCCGGGTGCATTTGAAAAGCTTATGACTGGAAATCTTTGTGTGTAACGATAGCAACTGAATGAAATTCTTGACGAGACAACAATCAGCAATGTTTTGTTTTTCTCATAAAACATGCGAAAAGTTCACAAGCACATGCACACACACACACACACACACACAAACACACACTTCGCCTGTTGCAGAAAGTGCCACAGTCTCGGCATCGATAATCGCCAGAATCAACCCGAATAATGCCAGATATAAACACCAATCTGAGACCTGAAATAGCCAAATGTTAAGCTGACAATTGAATTCTAAGGGTTTTAAACTGCTCTTCACACACATTACAAACAACGTTGCACTTTTTTTAAAATCATTTTGCACTTTTTAAAAATTTATACATTTACATTTCACATTTATGCATCTCGTCTTTTTTTCACTTCTCCTTTTTCAATCGTTTCTTTTCAATTTTATTTCATAACTTATGGGTGAAAACATTCTGCATACTAATTCAGTTTCCATACAAAGCCTCACCCAAGTCATTGAAGAGAATTCAACATGCAAATTCACAAAAAAAAACACAAATTTCCTTTCCGATTACATTCATCAACCTCGTGCAACGTTCATGATTGTGTTTCGATGTTCTTGCACTGGACAAAAAGTGCATTCGAGTGCACTTTGTTTCGGCGCTTTCGATGTTTTAAATGCACTTCATAAACAGAGTGCACAAAAGGATACAGTTCAATGCGGTATTACTGTCAGCAATAATGCAATGATTGATTTCAGATGGATGGAACCTTTTTGTGTGCAAAAAAAAGAACTTCAGAATCGCATTCGACAATGAAGATTTCTCATAACTGAGCGAATCCGGGGACATTTTTACTGCTTCAAAATAGTGACTGTATCCTTGGATACTTCTATAGAGCACAATGATGTACTTTAGCAGAAATAAAACTGATATATTGAAGTTTTCCGAGAATCATTCGAAAGTGTTTGGCATTTTCAGAATTTTACTATGACGAAAGCAAATTCTGTTTGTTCTAGGTGTACCATATTGATTTTTCAAATACGTCATTGAAAATAATGCTCTGTTTCTATGCGAATGGATTTCAATAATGAGCAAAATCGTTGAGGCTTGAACGATTTTCATGCGAAACTAAATCGATGGCTCAACTTAAGTAGTTCAATTCGGATTAGTTTCAAGAGGAATTGCTTGTTCACCAGAAAATGCTCTTTCAGAATAGTCAGTTCCAAAAGAGCACAAGAACACATTCCAACAATAAGTGCAGTTGATTTTAGAACGAACTAGAGAGAAATTCCATTCATTCATTCAGCGAAAATGACGAAAAATGTAACTCGATTGTAAAGTTGAAAAAACTGTTGAATTATTCAGCAGTTTCAAGTTGGTTACGTGGTTGAATGAGCAAAAATGCTCTGCGAAATGCCTTCGTTTACTCATGATGTCTACAGAAACACAACGTATGCATATGGTAAGTTTGTAGGCATAATATCTAGTCATATGCGAGTTCAACTTGGGAACAATAACCAAGTGGTGACTGAATTTCAACGAAAAAGCTATGCGCGAACCTTATTTTAGTGATTATGCAAGATGCACGAAGATTTTGGAACGTTTTTAGAGCTAATAACTGTGAAAATGAAAAAAAACACCAGCGTAAATGCAAAAGTGTTTTGAGAAAAGATTTTTCAGATTTTCAGGACCCCCTTGAGATGGACTGATCAGTTTTGTTTTTGAGAAACGATATATTGTAAACGTTGACAATCTTAGGATGTGATATGACGATTACTCTGCGATAGTATTTGGGCAAAAATGCTCGCTCGATCCATGAGGAAAACTTCAGCATTGCACTATGACGGAACACGCTAGCAATATATGTGAAAATATTTGCGACCATTTCAGAATACAATTGAAGGGAAGGCAAACAAGTGGCGCTCTTAAAAGGTTCTCGTTTCCTCGCAAATGCAACAGATTTGACTTGTTGAAATAAGCTGATAAGATGAAATTGGAAACAATTTGAAAGATTCGAATCGAATCAGAACGAAATTCAAAAGTGGAAACCTTTAGTTTTAGATCGACCATTTTACGTCTCAACTGATAACGTTTCTTGATGGTTTCACCATCCGTAAACCTGAACCCGTAACCACTTCCAACTCGATCGTATTTACGTCGATTCGTCAACGGCTCATGGTCATCGTGTAGCGGCGGATGATGTTCTCGACGAAACGGAAGTGCTGAAAAAGAATCTTTTTTTTCACTTCATTTCAATTTTTTCATTTTCATTTCGAACTGAATTTCATTATTCGCTAGATGGCTCCTCAAATTCAATCAAGAGCGTTGTTTGATCATGAAATTTGTGCCATTCGAAAAGCTTCCAAATTAACGAGAGTAAGTAATAGTCGATGAAGACCAGCTGATCGATGGCCTTCTTTAATTTGCTGTTGATAAATTTTTTGCGATATTGAATGAACAAAATCTGAACGAATTTCTTCTTCTCATGCGATATTTATGTAGCGCGAAGTGTGTTCACGAATAATATATAAATACTCCAAGAGAATTTCACTCAAAATGCTGTTGGATTTTTGCACGCTCCTAATTACAGCAGTAGCAATAAATAGATAATATATTTTTGATATAACTCAGTCATATGAATGAATAATCCAGGGAAATTCATTTGTTTTGTGCATTTTGGATAAGTAGTGAGCAATTTCGTTCTAATTGCTGTTAATCAGCGTTTTACAATGGTGCAATTGTTGTTAGGACAATAGAATTATTGTTGTCCTTCATCAGTTCGTGGATTATCCTAGTGAGATTGATGTAAACCCTTTTCGATGCGATCAAAAAAGTCTTCTCTCATCGGTTAAAATAAGTGAAAATTTCTGAAAAATTTAAAATAAGTGAAAAACTTAAAATAAGTGAAAAATTCTTCGAGAACACAGCTTTCCCGCACTTAATGGTGATCTATCGTTCCAATCGATCTGATCTATTGCAAAATCCTTATTGGGATAGCTCATCCTTAGGACATTGGGATAGCTTAATCGATCACCTATTATAAATATTGCTTGCAAACATCTGTGAATGCCTAAATGCATGTTTCAAAAACGAATTCATGATTGTGTTCCATAACAAAACCACAAAAAATTTCTCAGTATTTAATTTCATCTGCTTGAGGTATTGGATACATTCATATTCGTTTCAGAGGGTAACAACTTGCTTGCCTGCATCGTTTATTTATAAGAGTTGTTAAGGAGTGCTTGAAAAAGACTTATACATTCGGTTTCGTTCTGAGATGCAGAATGGTGAAAGTAATTATGTTCAGCATGATCACAATGTGACAAAATTTTTCCCCAGCTTCTGCCTTTTTTTCCCAGACGAATTGCAAATATTTGCTGCTTTCATAAGACGTGCATACATTGTACATTCCTTCCTCCTTTCGTCAGTAAAAAAGTTCCCAAACACATTAAGCATTAATCAAAATCAGCGGAACTAGGAAGATTTTCCTAGTTCCGCTGATTCTTGGAAAAGAATTTTAGTTCATAATTAAAAATCAAAATGGAGGAAGAATTTTCGAAAATTTCGCTAATTTCCTCTTTTTATGCAAATACTTTTCACTCTTTACTAATCAGAAGCTATTTGGGCTGTTTGAAGTTTTTGAAGTGTTTCCGAGATTCTATTCCAGAAATTGCAATGAATGAACCAATGACATAAGTGGTCTTAATCGCCAATGACGCTACCAACAGTGACACTTCTTTATCGTAAAACCACTCCAGCAGCCATACTGATTGAAGCGGATGTTTATTTGAGGAGTGTTTTTATGGAATCGTTCAAAAATGTTCAGATATCTTCTCGGCTGTTTGTCGACGACGACGACACAAGCTATGAAGAGAGTCTCTAGATGGAGTACACAAAAAACGTTTGCACATTCATTATTAATGCGAAAATCGATGACACTTCGAAAAAAATGTCATCATTTGCTCGCTACAGCGATTCATATGGATCAAAAGTCCGTTGAAAAATATCGAAAGTCGTGTTTCGGCATCAATTTCGACTATAATTGTTCGACAGGAAATTGTTTGGAATTTGAACGTGACTGTGAGCATAAGGCTAGCGCTGGGCGCTAACCCGAGCTCAGGGCAATGGCCGTGTGCTTAAGCTTAAGCTCGCAATAAGCTTAATCCAAGCGGAACTTTTGAGGGTTCGATACTTTATCGCCGGTCGTTAGCATAATGAAGTTCGTTGCTGTATTCAACAAAGAGAAAGTGATTATCTCATGATGGATTGTTTTATGTGGCAGATATTTCGGAATATCGCCTCAAATCTTTCAAAGCACCATTCAAGAGCGCAATTACTGGCTTGAATTGTTTTTCAGCAGATCAGACAGAATTGGTTCGAAAAAATGAAGAGAAAATAAGCGCAAACAAAGCGGACAGAGCACATGATGGAGATAAGAAAAATGCAGATACTGGAAGTCTGTGTCTGATACGATTCAGTGAAGATGTAGACTTAGCCAATTTGAGAAATCATGATTCTGGCTTATTGAAATGTGATCAATGGAATCAACGAAACGAAGGAGCGATTTGCTGTTGGCGAGCGTAATTGATGAGTCAAACTTGGTGAATTTTGCGCTCAAGCGAGAAATTTTCTGATTAGTATTGAAGTGTTTGAACGCATAGAGCCGATGATACCAAATACTGCAAATCGCGTTTTAGATGATCTATTGTCATTCAGCAATAAAAGTCTTGATGTACTCGAATTATCATATCAATTTTCATATCACATATCTTATCGATTAACGCCAGTCGCTCTCATAATGCCCTTGAAAATGTGAAGAAAACCTATAACTAAAGTAGATAAAATGAAGTGCGAAAGCAAACTTACTGACAGACGAATAAACGGCAAATTTTGGTCGTTCTTGACCAAACGCTACACCAGCTCGTACACCAGCCATATAACCTATGTAAGCATACAGATAGTGACATAAAATACGGCACTGGCAATCTTCTGTTTGGTTTTTTCGAATATAATAATGTGGTCAGACGATGGCGATGATGAATTGAATTTGTGGAGAATATTATTGTTATTGAGGCGCAGTTGACGATAACACTTCAAATGAAATTGAAGTGCTGTTGAAATGTTTGTCGATGAATGAATGATAAATTGTCTTCTCAACTCGAGATCAGTTCCGATTTCGTTTGATAAGTCGCGTTTACAATTTTATGATTAGCACTTGCTTGTGGACGGTGCTTCTCGTTGGGGTTGACAAGAGCTGGGAGCTGACAGCTCTGACAGCTTTAACAGCTGACAACCGCTCAATGCTCTTAGTTAGTCAGCTTACTGAAGTGACGATGACAACGATGACGACGAGAGCAGTACTTTCACTTTAAAGTACCACTTACTCAACAATAACTTACAACTTACTAATAATAACTCAGTAAGTAACTCACAACAATCTCATTTAGTTGGCGAGCCGAACCCTCTTCAGTCTAGTTTCTTCTTAAGAAAACTGCTTATTCTTATTGTGATTGTGAGCAGTATCTGCTGCTGTTGCTGCTGCATTCAGTGAGAATCGCTGCTTGAACATCGACCATGACTACCGTTGAGTTTTTGCGGTATATTTGAGTAAGATTCAATGATTGATGAGCGCAATAAAACTGAACAGTTGATGAATCAATGTAAATGAATGCGTGTAGATGTGAAATAATGAGCAAATTGCGACAACACAGAATTGTTGCTGTGCTTGATGGTCGTCATGTGACGATAAATTGCGTATTTTTGGTGTGCCGATGAATGACTGAAGGTGGTTACTATCATGAATTTGTTGATTTTGTTGTTGATTCGGTCGATTCCAGTGATTTTCCTCTTAATGTTTTGCAGAGTTGGTAACACAATCGCAGATTTAGGGCAGTTCTGCAAATTCAATGAAACCATTAGTGAATGAAACATAATTTAGATTGCTTTCTGTACGCGTGATTCCAATTTGATGAGTACATTTTCAACTCACGTTCAAGAACAAATGTAAAGTGATGCATCGGAATGTGTTCATTCTGACACTTTTGACTTCACATACGATTACAATTGAATTCTTGGAAGAACCCTCGTCAAAAAGGGGAAATGCAAAAAATAAGAATTAAGGGGTATAGAATTGCATTATGACTTTAGATATTTGATTTTACCATCGTAATTCAATCTATCATAGACAAGGTTTTGATCTGGCTTCATGGATCAACAGGTGCCAATCCTATGGTACCCGGTCAATCTACCTAAAGACATTTAGCCTAACGACAGTTTGCCTAAAGACACATTGGCTAACGGACAGTTTGCCTAACGGACAATTTGCCTAACGGACAGTTTGCCTAACGGACAGTTTGCCTATTAGGCGAAAAATCCATTGAAAACCGTAAGTTAGGCAAACTGTCTGCTAGGCAAAATGTCCGTTCGGCAAATTGTCTATCAAGCAAACTGTCCGTTAGGCAACCTGTCCGTTAGGCAATGTGTCTTCAGGCAAACTGCCGTTAGGCAGATTAACCGGTCACGCAATCCTATGCTTGATCAGTTGTTGTTCTTTTGAAACTGTAATGGTAATTCATCTCGGCAATGGACTCGGCTCCGAGTTGTACAGAAGTTCGATATTTCTCTCGCATCAAAAGGAAATCTTGTTGGAGACGACGTTTGAAACTAGCTCCTATTCTCTTCAGGAATACATTATGGAATGAATGAACAGAAATTGGCTCTTATGTCCCCAAACATTTCTCTAATGTGTGAATCAACATCACTTTCGATTATTAACCACTGACTGATCTGTTCCATACTTCCGCTCCGCTCCACACAAAGAGTTGGTCACGAAGAAGTCTCCGAAAACAACGAAATTGCTCGTTTCCTGATTCAATTACTTGATTGAAAAATTCGTTTGTGCCAACTATTTATTTTATTTTAATTCAATGCAGTGCAATTTCAAAAGCGCGCAGCACTACCACATAACCCATTTTCGGACGCAACACCTCTCCAACTACTACTTCCGAGTCTCATGCAACAGTAAACTTCAACGCTGCATATCTTCTCTGTAATAAAATGCCTCTCTCCTATCATCAGTAATTCTTCCTATCAATAATCCTGTCCTATCAATAATTTCAAGTTATCCATAAAAGCTTCATTGTTTCATTACTGGCTTCTCGTGGATTCAATGAATCAACAATCGTATTGTTAGGTTATGTCTACCCGTATTTTTCTAGTTGCGTGTTCATCGGAAACAGAGTTGAAACAATAATGGCAGCACAGACTTTTTACTTGTATGCACTGAAGTTATCCGAAACAAGAAGCAGATCAACCAAGCAGGAATGTCATGGATATTCATCCATTCAAGCATTCACCTATTACTCATTCAGTCGGATGAAAGGGAAGAAACGGGTGTCAGTGGAGTCACTGATGAAAAATGCGGATTTAACGATGACAGATTGCACTCAGACGCAGATAAGTCAGTTGAAAAATGTAATACGGATGATCCTCGAAAGTATTCATTCATTCATGACGCTTCATTAATGCAGGGATAAGCTTTATCTCTGATGAAAGATGGAAGTGCTACATTCGCACCAGGAAAATATAACATTAACAAAATGAAATAATAATTGAAACGAGAAATGTATTGGCTTTAACGCTAAAAATGATCTTCGTAAACCAATGAAATGATCGGAAAAACAGATTTGCGTTATAAGGGAAATAGTGAGTCCTCATTGTGAAAATATTAGATCTCTAGCGATTTATTATCGTATTATTATCTAGTGCATTTCGTCAAACAGCGACATGTTCTAATATTCCCAATCTAAAGGATATCTCGATTTTCATCTGTTACTAACCAAGTTTCATAACTGCAAGCATCAATAGAGGAAATCAAATTCTAACACACAAAAATTTCAGTATTATTATTTCAATGAATGATCTCCATAATTACGCATCAATTAGTCATTTCTTTAGTCGACATTTTTGATGGACTGTTATCGTTTTTGTGCTAGTTCAGTTATTCTTTTATGTTCTGCTCTGAATTCTGAATTTTTGAAGTTGTTCTATTTTTCCGTTCGAACGGTTCTCGCGCTCAGAATTCTGCTCTAGTTTGGTAGAGCAGAACAGGAATATAGAAACAGTTTAGTAGGATTAAAAGTTATTCGGGCAAAGTACTAGGTATATAGAGTTGCAAATCAGGATTATATTAAATCGGTTTTTTTTTTCGAGATCACTACTGAATAGGAGATAATCAACGAATGAAAATCGCATGTATCTTAATGAAACAATAAAAATGCATGTCGACAAAAGGACCTCAACTTTTTTCCTTCTCTAACTGAGGCGCAGCATTTGATTATCTTTTGAAATAAATCGAAAATTAGCGAAACGTGGATGAATATCGCCTCTCGACTTAACAATTGTTAGCGATTGCATATAACAAATTCATTAAGGTATTGAAACACTCGCTGGATGAATGAATAGTTAATGAGAACGGAGAGCAAAAAAATGCGCTTTCATTCATACTTTTTCGAAAAATTGGATTTGTTTCGAACGAAAAATCTCGGCTAATGAACGACAACTTTCGAGCGAACAATTCAGAAACAATGTGAAAAGATCAAAATTAGTTTGATTCAAATGAATGGAAATAACTGTTAATGAGAAAACTCTGCTGATCAACACATTCAGTATCGCATATTCAGTTAGAGAAAAAATTTTTCGCACATTGCTGGCATGGTTACATAGATGTAAGCGATGTGAAAAGTTCAAAGAGATTTTTTTTTTCATTGTATATTCACAATCTGGATAGAATAATTCATGCGAAAGGCTTGACAGTGGTGGATGAGAATTTTCGCGACACACGTGGAAAGAAGAGGTTTTCGACGATGTCGGCAGACTCGTTAAGTAGACCAATAGAGAGCATGATAATCAGTCTGTGTATGTTTATTCCTTAGGATTTCAACTAGATCAACCAAAATCCAGGATTGCAGTAGCGTGAAAATTTATCGTGCCGAAAAGTTTTTTCTTCCCAACCAACTCTCCCTGGAATTTAATTCAGGGCTCTCTCATGTTCTCAGTGCAGTGATTTGCACAACTATGTGAACTGTGTTTATAAGGATCAAAAACCAACAAAAAAAGCGACTCAATATTGCCCAATAACACAAAAGCAATCATGAATCTCCACTCATTCCCGCAATTAATTCAAAGCTATTCGTTTGCTGCAGTGAACTACAAGCCTATTTCTGATCATTATCGCTCTCATCGCCCATTCAAGAACTCTCATGCACTTCTACAAGAGCACAAGCATACATAAAAAATTAAACGATCATCAAAATAAAATTAATTTAGGTGCACTTGTCAGCATACCAACATCTATCTATAACCTCATTACACTTTCAAATTTTTTCGAACTCTTGAATCTTTTATTCAACTGCTCCATAAAAAGTTCAGTGAATGAATGGATAATAGACGAATAAGCAAATATCTCAGTATCAATATTTGACGTAATTCGAGCACTCTGAAAAGTCAGATCGTCTGTGTATATGTCAACTATTGTTTTCAGTGTTCCTGTGATCTGCCGTTCTTCTGAGTGCCTGCCTGCCTTCGTTGTAATTAATGAAATTTCGCTGTAAACAATCGCGGTTCGTTTGCATGTACAGCCTCATTGCCCCTAATATAAACAACACACAAACTCGTATAAACTCTTCACAATGCAACACCCATTACCATCTTGTCACACTACTTCCGATGGAACTCATCCATATTATCGTCAGTCTAACTTCCTAATCCGTCTCGTTCTGAGCCGTTCCCCTCCTGTTCGTATCCCTTTCAGATGAGATATCATTACTGACTTCATGAGTCTCCAAACAACAGAAACAGCAAAAATTATCGCACGCACTCACAATCAGTTAACTAGCGATAACGACGTTTCATTCTCGTTCGGTTTCTATTGCACACGTA